CCCTCCCCCGCTATCCCTGTGGGGCCCGCACTGCTCCCCGCTGTCCCTGTGGGGCCCCCACCCCTCCCCTGCTGTCCCTGTGGGGCCCACACCCCTCCCCCGCTGTCCCTGTGGGGCCCACACCCTTCCCCTGCTGTCCCTGTGGGGCCCACACCCTTCCCCCGCTGTTCCTGTGGGGCCGCACTGCTCCCTGCTGTCCCTGTGGGGCCCACACCCCTTCCCCCGCTGTCCCTGTGGTAACCCGGATCTGAACTGTTTAATGGATAAATGACCCTGTGCTAATTGCCAGGATGTTTGGGAGAAGGCGAGTTAGGCCTATTGTTTTCTCAGGCCAAAAGGCTGCTGGAAATGTAGAAGAACCCTGGGACACGATCCTGCTTCATCTCAGATCTGCTTTGGGTTTCAAGAGGGGGAAACCTTAAGCCCTAAGGATTGAGATCCCCAGTCACTGACTGGAGCCACCCTGAATATGGACATTGGACTATAACCTCTGAACTATTTCTAAAAGGACTTTTGGCAACGACAAGCTCATCTCTGCTGTGTCTGAACCTCAAGAATTGAATTCAAGTCTGTCTGTAGATTGATCTTTTAACCAACACTCTCTCGCTTTTCTTTTTAATAAATTTTAGCTTAGTTAATAAGAATTGGCTATAGCGTGTATTTTGGGTCAGATCTAAGTTATAATTGGACCTGGGTGTGTGGCTGAGCCTTTGCCCAGCGTTAGCTGGTGCCCTTTGGGCAGGGGACGGGGGGGGTGCCCAGAGCAGGAAGGCAGCGTGAGTCTTGATGCCCAGGAATGTGCCTGAGAGGCCAAGGGGGGGCCTGGCGCTGCAGCCTGCTGGCCCCACGATGCTGGCAGACAGGTGCTAGGTCGTGCCAGGCCTGGCCTCGCTGTCCCTGCCGCAGACACGCCTTGGTGCGCCGGCTGCCCGTGGGCCAGGCCGGTTAGACACATGGCAGCATTGCTCGGCCGTGCTCAGCGTGGCCACGGCCTGGCACTGGTTGAGGGGGTTGCCTGCGGGCCTGAGCCACCCCAGGCAGCCATCAGTTCCCTGGAGCCCCTCCCCTCCCCCCATGCTCTCCCTCATGCTCCTATTGGTGTCCCCCCAGGCGCCTAGCCCCAGGGCCCTCCCCACACAGCACCTGTCCTCGTGCCATGCCCTGTCCCACCTGAGAGGGGGCTGCACGTCTCGCTGCCCTTGGGCTGCCCGTCGCCCTGGATCAGCAGCTCCCCGTTGGCGCGGAGGGGTGACAGCTGGCTGGCACTGGCGATGGGCGTGGGGCGTTCGCCCTCGTCGCTGGAGGGTTCCCACTCAGGCTGATCCCCCGGGACCTCCGGTGCCTGGTGGTTCTGACCCGTCCGCCGCGGCTTCTGGCTGCTCCTCCGCTCCCCGGCGTTCTCCGGGTCTGCGGAGTGGGAGGGGGGCGGAGAGTGAATGTTCCGCAGAGTCAGGCTGGGCAGGGCCCTGGCTGCTGGCCGGGAGGAGCCAGCTGGGGGTCCGGTGTCAGGGCGGAGTCCTGGGTGGGGCACAGAGCCTGTGCTGGGAGGCGGGTTTACTCCTGGGGAATTCTGCGCCACTGCGCACGTGCCCAATTAATTAGCTGTGCATAGTTTTAATTTTTTGCACAGAAAAAATCTTCTGTTGAAATGTTGCCGCAGTTCTGCCTTTTGCCCACCAGAGGGCGCTGTGACAATAGAACAGAGCAGCAGCTCCTGGCCAGCTAGGGAAGAGAAAGAGTCTGCCTTCTTCGCTGCGCCTGTCAGGCCAGGTCAGGAGACAGGGGCTATGGTGAGACAGACAGTGTGCGGTGCTGCGGGGGGGTTAGACAGGGACTCATAAGGGCTAGTGAGGGAGGACAGCCTGGGACGGGGGTTGAATGGGAGTGGAGGTGCAGGGCCACAGAGGGGAGGGAGGTGCAGGGCCATACGGTGATGGGGGAGGGGGTGCAGAGGTATATAGGGACAGGGAGTGGCTGAGTGGGGGCACAGAGACACATTGGATTGGGGAGGGGGTACAGGGGCACATGGGGATGGGGGGAGTGGGTGTCCAAATGGGGGTGCAAGGACACATGGGGGTACAGGAACACATGGAACCAGGGACAGATGTACCTGACTGAATGGGAGAGGCTAGGGGTCAACCAGGATCTGCATGGGGGAAGTTCCCCAACAATCCCTCCCTGACCCTCAAAACCTGTTCCATACTTTTCTCACCCACACCCAACAACCCTCCAAGTTCACACCCAGGCTCCTTCCCAGCAATTTACTTCCCTCTCCCTCAGGTCCTCTGTTACCCCTGACTCCTGCCAGCCTTTGCACTGCTTCAGGGGGGTGCAGGAAATACGGTTCTGTATTGTAGTTTAAATGAATTTTTATTCAGAGTTCTATATTCATATGCCTAATAATCTGTTTGTCAAAAAATATTTCCTGAATCTTTTTTGTTGTCTGTATTGTTACAGACACACTTGCTGATGGGTGTTTTGAAATAAATGACCTAAAATAATTGAAACTGGTGTGAGTACAGTGTGTTATTTTGACAAATAGAATATGCAGAATTTTGCAGAACTTTAAAATATTGCGCACAGAATTTTTAATTTTCTGTTGCAGAATTTTTAAATTTTTGGCACAGAATTCCCCCAGGAGTAGGGGCTGGCGCTCTGGGTGGAGACACCAGCCCTGCGCTGGGAGAGTGGCTGGTGCCCTGGGCAGGGCACAGAGCCTACGCTGCGGGAGGCCCTAGGCCCCTCATGCTTGCTCTCCTGCCCCCACTCACCCTTATCCGTGCGCCGGCGGAAGGACAGTTTGCGGTGCCGCAGCCGGTTGAAGCCGCCGTCCAGCTCGGTGCTTCCGGGGGAGCCGGGGATCATGTTGGTCTGCAAGGAGGGAGAGCCGTGAGCCGGGCTGGGAACTGGGGAGGGGGTAGGCGCGGGAGAGGGGGAAATGGATACACTGGTGGTTAGGTGGGTGGAGGCGCTGGTAGGTGGGGGACAGGTTGGTGGATGGCACAGTGGGTGGGTGGGTGAATACACTGGTGGTTAGTTGGGAGCAGGGTGGATGGCTCGGTGGGGGTGGAGTGGGGTCAGGAGCAGGCGGGGTTCTCCCCTCAGCCTGGCTAAGAGCCCACAGAGCCCCCCCAGCCTGTCTGAGCGCCCCCAAAACTCTCTCCCCCCACAGCCTGTCTGAGTGACCCCAGAGCTCCCCCCAGCCTGGCAGAGCACCCCCGAAGCTCTCCTCCCTGGCCTGGCACCCCCCTGCCTCCCCCGGCCCCGCTGAGCCCCCTGGAGACCCCCCGGCTCTCACGTCACGCAGGTTGAAGGTGATCTCCAGGCTGGCCCAAAAGCGGTCCGAGAACTCGGGGTACATGTCCAGCACCTCCAGCAGCTCCTCCCGCTGGATCTTGTGCAGGTCGCAGTAGGTCAGAGCCCGCACGTCCGCGTTGGACTTGCCCGGCCGCGCATACAGGTTCAGTGGCTCCCCAAAGATGTCGTTCTTCCCTAGGGGCGGCACAGCAGGGTCAGTGCGGGTCTCCCAGGGGCATAGGTCGCGGGGCACATGCCAGGAGTGGGCTGGGCGAGCCAGGGGCACGTGCCAGGGGTGGCCTGGGCAGGATGGGGGGGCACACGCCAGGGGTGGGGTGGGCGAGCTGGGGGGGCACACACCAGGGGTGGGGTGGGCAGGATGGGGGGGACACACGCCAGGGGTGGGGTGGGCGAGCCGGGGGGCACGTGCCGCGGTGGGCTGGGCAGGATGGGGGGGGCACGTGCCAGGGATGGGCTGGGCAAGCCGGGGGGCATGTGCCAGGGGGGCTGTTAGGTTCTCCTGGGTGCCTGGCTGGGGACCGTGCCATAGGGCGATGTGAGGGACAGAGGGCCCATGCCCCCCCAGCTGGCAGTGCCCCCCTACGGCTCCTGCCCCCGTCAGTGCCTGCCCCCTGGTCAGCAGTGCATGACCCTGGCTGGCACTGCCCCTCCCACTGGCAGCATCCACTGCCCCCCCCACAGCTCTCCCCCGGTCTGGCACCGCCCATCCAGCACCCTCCAAACACACCTGGCAGTGCCCACCCCCAGTTGGCAGTGCCCCTCTCCTGCTGGTAGCTCCCCCCCCCAGCTGGCAGCATCCGCCCCCCTCACCCCACAGCGCCCACCACCCTGCCTGCCTGGCAGCCCCCCAAACCCGGCAGCGCCCGCCCCCTCACCGAGGATGGCCACCACCATGTCGCGGCGCAGGATCTCGATGGAGCCGCGGGAGATGAAGTAGAGCGCGGTGAGCACATCGCCGGCGTGCACCAGCGTGTCGCCGGGCGGGGCGTGCGTGGTCTTGAACTTCATGGCCAGGGCGCGCAGGCAGCCCTTGCTGGCCCCCTGGAAGGGTCGGCAGCTCTGCAGCAGGCTGCGGTTGAGGTGCAGGCAGATGTCAGCTTGCAGGCACTCGGGGAAGCCCTTTAGCACCTGCGGGCGGGCGGGCGGGAGAGGTCCCATTACCGGGGAGGGCACCGCGCAGCGGGGGCAGAGAGCGCAGGGGCTGGCCGTGGGCACCAGGGGGTGCTGGCACACACGGCTGTGCCCATGGCCGTGTGCTGGTCTGCATGGGCCATTTGGCTTGGTTGTGGCTCTGTGTGTGTATGTGTGTGTGTGTCTCTGGGTTTGTGTGTGAGTGTGTGGGGTGTAGGTGTATGCAATTGTATGTGGGTGTGACTAAGTGGGGGATTTTCTTGTTTTTTCCGTGTTTTTCCAATGGTTGCATGCAGAGCGGGTGGGACTCAGTGCCCCTGGGTGTTACTGGTTTAACGAGGGGAGGGGAGAGGGAGTTTGTTGTTACAGGGGACCGGAGAGGGGACTTGGGACCCCAACCAATGGCCTGGAGGACGGATACCCCAGCGACCGGTGACCTGACAACCGGGAGGCCCAGCTCGGGAGTCACAGCTGGTTCTGGCCAGTGGGAGGACAATGGGCTGCGGGGAGAGGGGACCCCAGTGACCTGACCAGCCAGTTCCAGCCAGAGGGGCCAGAGGACAGAAGAGGGGAGAGGAGACCCAGGCGACCCTGTTTGAGACTCTGTTTCCCTGGAGAGAAGACAATGGACAGAGGCGGGGCCTGGGGCCGGGGATCTCAGATGCCCAGCTGGGGAGCAGGGGGGCTCTGGGCTGGAGAGGGGGAGCAGGCAGAGCCCACCTGGATGCAGAGAGACTGGGATGTGCTGGGCTGAGGGAGGCCAGGCCTGAGGCCCGGAGAGTTTCCTGTGCTGTGTTCAACGCTCAATAACCCTCCTGTGTTACGCTGGCTGAGAGTCACTCCGGTCTAGAGAACAGGGGGGCATCAATCCCTTTGGGGGGTGGAGGCCCCAGGGGTCCAGAGCGAGTGGACTCCTTGAGGGGGCCCACGGCGAGAGACAGACGTGCTCAGGCTCAGAGAGGTGCGGCTCCAGGAGGTGGAGGGGCCTGACCCCAGGAGAGAGTGGACCCCCGAGAAGGGCTGTCGCACTGAAAGGGGCTCCCCCCATGGACTGCATGGGGCCAAGAGGGGGCACGACCTGTGAGTCCGTGACAACCAGTATACAGGTGTGGGTGGGTGTGCTCATGTGTCTGTGTGCGTATGTGTGTGTGTATGGGTCTGTACGTCTCTGTGTGTGTCTGTACATCCCTGGCTGTGTAGAGGTGTGTGAGTGTGTCTAGCTGTGAAGGGGTGTGTGTGTGTGTCTCTCTGTGTAGGGGTGCGTGTGTCTGTGTGTGTGTGTCTGTACGTCTCTGCCTGTGCGGGGTGTGTATCTGTGTGTGCGCGCACACGTGCTGCAGGTGTGGGGGGCTCTGCAGGGCCATTACGTCTCAGTGTCCAGGGCGCTGCGCCAGGCCCTGGGGACGGGCAGAGGGAGGTGGCACAGCTGCAGGTGTGTTGCGGAGAGAGTGCCCCTCTGCCCATGGTGCTGTTTGCTGCCAGTCACCCAGCTCTGGGGTGTCTGGAGTCCAGGCCTGGAGCTGGCATGAGGGGGGTGTCGGCACCGTGCACAAGGCGGGGCGCTGAGCTCATGCCATGCCCATGGTGCAGGACCAGGTGGGATGAAGTGGGGTTTTCCCCTTTTGATGTTGTACGTAACTGTTCTGCATGAATACTGGGTGTGCCTCAGTTTCCCTGTGTATTGCACCATAGCCCAGGTGGTGGGGATAAGGGTGTGTGACGTAATTGACATGAACGGTGACCATATAGATCATTGTTGCAACCACTGTTATAGATTTGCAGCAAACATTGTACAAAGCTTGTCGTGTGAGGTGTCTATGAAGAGGTTATGATTTGCTGGTTATGGTTACGCTGTCTGTATTCATGTATCATTTTTGTATTTGAAGTTATGAATATTGGCTCTGTACTTGTTCTCAACGTGTTTGATTCTAAATAGCCTCAGTGAAGCATTTGTTCAGCTTCTTAAGGAAGGACAATTCTCAGTAAGTGCCCAGTCAAAAAACACTGAACTGACACTCAAGTATCAGAGGGGTAGCCGTGTTAGTCTGAATCTGTAAAAAGCAACAGAAGGTCCTGTGGCACCTTTGAGACTAACAGAAGTACTGGGAGCAAGTACTTGCTCCCAGTACTTCTGTTAGTCTCAAAGGTGCCACAGGACCCTCTGTTGCTTTGAACTGACACTGAACTTTGGGAGACGCCAATCCACATCTGAGCTTTCCTGGGAACCTTCAAACTAACATGTAAACAATGCTGTTGGCCTGCAAAAACTGAATCATTTATAGATGTGGGACTTGCCCAGGTGACAGCAAACTCCATCTTGTTACTGTGATTTTGCACAGGAGAACCAAGGGGTTTCCGCCCACAAGAGAGAGAATATAAAAGGCCATGGAAACTCCTCCATCTTGTCTTCAATCCTGCTTCTTTCCTCTGGAGGAATCTTGCTACAAACTGAAGCTCTGAACAAAGGACTGACTGACCCATCCCAGCGGGGGATGTATTCCAGGGACTTGATTTGAACCTGCAGTTTATTCTATCGCTGCTGCAAGCCTGAACCAAGAACTTTGACATTACTGTATGTAATTGATTCCATTTAACCAATTCTAGCTCTCATCCATATCTTTTTCCTTTTATGAATAAACCTTTAGATTTTAGATTCTAAAGGATTGGCAACAGTGTGATTTGTGGGTAAGATCTGATTTGTATATTGACCTGGGTCTGGGGCTTGGTCCTTTGGGATCAGGAGAACCTTTTTCTTTTACTGGGGTCTTGGTTTTCATAAGCATTTGTCCCCATAACGAGTGGCACTGGTGGTGATACTGGGAAACTGGAGTGTCTGAGGGAATTGCTTGTGTGACTTGTGGTTAGCAAGTGGGGTGAGACCGAAGTCCTCTTAGTCTGGCTGGTTTGGTGCCTTAGTAATAAAGGACCCCCAGCCTGGGGCTGTAACTGCCCTGCTCTAAGCGATTTGTCCTGAGTTGATACTCTCAGTTGTGTCCTGCCAAAGGCCGCTGTGTTCCAGGGTGTGTGACCTTTGCTGAGGCCCTCGGGGGCAGGGAAGGCTGCTCCAGGTGCCTGCATGTAAGAGATGGATGGTGCCCTTCGGAACCTGAGAGCCAGGAGGGCGGATGTGACCAGGTGACATAACATGT